TTATAAGCGGTACTTTATCTGAGTATATTTCTCTGACGAGACAGCTTTTTCACTGGAGAAAGCTATATAGTGGTTGCCAGATACAGATACAATGTTTTGAAGTTAAAAAACGTCTTAATGATGGATTTGTTTATTACAAACACATGGCTTTTCACTTCACAAGACATTAATTGATCAACTGGAGTTGTGTTGCGTACTTGTGGAATATTGTAACATATTTATCAGTTGTTTGGACTGTCATTCTGACGGCACCCATTCACTGCAGGGGATCTGTTGGTGAAGAAGTGACCATGTAACCATAAACTTCTCCAAATCTGTTCTGATGAAGAAACAAATTTATCTACTGATGGCCTGAGGGTGAATAAATTTTCAGCAAATTTTCATTTTTGGTAAATTATTCCTTTGAATCTTTCACTGAATTAGGAGATCTAATATGATTTTTGTTGCAATGGGACACCTATGTGTTTTGGTGTTTCTATGCAAACCTCAGTGTGACAGCTTTCCCTCATTTGACGGGCTTGCTGATTACAACAACAAGAGCGTTCTTAGGGTGATGAGAGTTTGCCATAGCAACCATAAGGCTTGTGTGCTCATCTACTTCAACCTTCCCACAGCAGCAAAAATGAACCCATCACAGGAATTCATTTCAGCTGGGCTGATTAGAAGGCTGCAATTAAGGCTTTGAAAGTATATTGGATTTCACAACACTGAGGATGAATTAGATTATAATGACATTTAGGAGACCTTAGCATCAATGAATTGTAACTTCTAAAATGAAATAAATCCCATGCTGTGTGTGCTTGTTTAAGAAATAGTATTAAAATATCACATTATACTGACATCATGTCAAGTGAAAAAAGAGGGGGTCTGTTTCAGACTTTACACTCAAACTGCACAATATAATTGTATCTTCAGATGCCAAAGGAGCTGGGTCATTCAAAAAATGACCCATAAAAGATGTCTGTATAAATCAGAGTTTTTTTATTCTTTTTGAGGCCAACAAGCATCCCCGACCCCGATATAAGTGAAATGATGAAGGAATTAATGTAATCATGCCAGTCACTCTGCATTTCAAATTCAAGTGGACAGTAATTGCAGTGAAGTGTTGTGTGTGTGGAGGTGGGTGTGTGTGTAACCCTAATCCTAGCCTCTCTCTTCTTCTTGTGTCCTGATTACTCCTGCGGTGATTGTGTTTTGAACAATCTCTCAGAGCGCTGAAGTGGTGGACAGAGGCAAGAGCAATGTCAGATCCCTTAACATCCGCACAGCGCCACTTCTTTCCATTGTCACAGCCATCTTAAAAGTAATAATCCTTATTTAAAACACAAAATGGTGAAATTAGGCACTTCAAGGAAAAAGGTGACTCTTTTCTTGACTTCACAGCTCAATATTTGTTAAAGGAATAGTTCACCCAAAAATGGATATTTTCTCAGGCCGTCCAAGATGTAGATGAGTTTGTTTGTTCATCAGAACAGATTTGGAGAAATTTAGCATTACATTACTTGCTCAACAATGGATCCTCTTAAGTGAAAGGGTGCTGTCAAAATGAGAGTTCAAACAGCTGATAAAAAAAAATCACATCTCGTGAAAAGTGAAAATGAAAAGCCATCCCCTGTTGTCCTCTCACATCAAAATTATTTCAACAAATTATTTAGAACTGTTTCAAACTGTTTTCAATTGTTAACACTTCTCTCCTGATTCAGATGAGACTTTATTACTGGAGAAAGCAGTATGGATAGAGGACTTGTATTTTAGCCAGCCTACAAGCAACAGTTTGAAGCTAAAAGCATATTATGTTTCTTACAAACTCACAGCTTTCACTTCATGTTACTTGATGGACTGAAGTCGTATGGATTACTTGTCGATTACTGTGATGTTTATATCAGCTGTTTGGACTCCCATTCTGATCGCCTTTGGGGACCATGTGATGTAATGCTAAATTAATCCAAATGTCATGTACATCTTGGATGGCCCTTAAAAAGCTGTTGCCTATAGTACGAAATCCCAAAGACAGCCCTATTGGTTAAAAAATAATTCAAATGTATTCAAATTAATTATTTATGAGTGAATAATAAAAACAGGATAATGCTGTTATTATTTCATTAGAATACACTGAACTATTTTTATTTTTTATTTTATTTTACTCAAAAGGTTAGTATTCACAAAAACATGCAGAAATGTAGCTGGCCTTTATAATTGTTAAGTTGCCATGGCAGCCACACAAAAGCATGGAGCCTGCACCCTATTGCCCACTTCAGAGCAGCATAAACCATCCTATTGTACCACACACTCATTTTCTACGCCACTTGTTCTCGGTGGTCTTCAAGGCTGCACTACACACACAACAGCCAAATGTTTCCAATGTCTCTGCATTTTAACGAGTCACACATAATGTAATGCAGTATGTTCCTTCCTATAGAGATGCAAAGCAATGAGGTTGCAACAATTTAGAGCTGTTTTTTTTTTCCTATGCATCCTTTGCATAATTACACATTTTAGCTGTATCTGTGTAAAACAAAAAAACAAACAAAAAAAAGCTACAACCTTGGATCTTTTTGTTACTGCTGAAGGGCATGATCCTTAAACACATTACGGTTCACTAAACAGTAGAGTCACATTTTATGCTTTTAACTATATCAGTTAAGTCTGTTCTGGCCTTTTAAGTCTCTTTAAACATGTTTGGTGAAATCTTACAAATATGTATTATTCATATGTAAAGGTCCAATGTTTATTGAAGTAGCACTTCAGAAGAAGAACCAGTTGTACAAAAATAACATCACTGCCATCTACAGGATGCTCTGCAAAATAATAAAAGGGCATGGAAGAAATCTACAACTTATGATGTATACAGTGTAATTTTTTGTTGTTGTTGAAGCCGTTCCACATTACCACTCTTTATATAATTTTTTATTAAGATATTTTATTTAAAACCTGACTATAAAGTTGATTTAATATAAAACATATCTCGACTGTATCCAACAATTAAATCATCCAGCGTCATATTTTACATAATCTTTTTCATTAATAGTGAGTTATTTATAGTACATTTTCATTTTATTTGTTTTACAAAATTTGGTCACAAACTAGCTACACTCTAAGAAAAAGGTACAAAGTACTCACTGGGGTGGTACCCCAAGGTACAAAAACTAAAGGTACCTTATTTGGGCAACTTTATACCTTATTTATCCCTAAATAGTATATATTAGTGTCTGAAATGTGAATAGTATTGCTTTAAAAGCACATATTAGTACTTTAGATGCCTACAGTTTGTACCCATATAAGTGGAGAATTTATTCCTATTTTTTATTTTTTATTTTATTTTTAAAAATTTAATTAAATTTTATTCAGACTACATCTATATTAGCCATATACATTTAAACATAAATTTATGCATTATGAAAACATGCAACTAAAGTTTTAACAATGTAATTTAAAACTACTACAGTAGGTGGTGCAAGAGACTAAGTAGTATAACTTAAGTCTGTCATTCTTTTACTCATTATACCTTGTTCCCACTGACTTGCTTAAACCACAGTGCATTCTTTCTTTTCTTTAATCATGTTAGTTTTCTTTCACCACTCCATTTATTAACTTGGACTTTTATAGTCAATTCAATTGCCAATGGATAAAATCAATTCTTTCCTTCCCTTTTAAAAACTGGGTTGTAAAGGCATGTTAACTTTAGATCAGTTCAGATTTCTCTCCGCCTGTTATTCAGAAAAGGTTTGGTGTGGTCAGACCTCCATCAGGGATCAACAATAAGCACTGCCAGCTGCCAAGGAACATAAGTTATTATACTGTATCTGTTTAACTGTAGCAAATTAAAAGTCTAGAATTGTGTGTGTGTGTGTGTGTGTGTCACTGTTATCACTGTTATAAAATCACTGTTATGTGCAGGTGCATATAAATATCTAACTATACGAATATTTGCAGAATTTATTACTGAAAAAGACAGTGGGGCAGTGTTTATTCTAAAGGAAGATAGTGAACAGCAACAGCTGCCACCTCATAATGCTGTCATTTTATGTAATCCATGTAAATCCTGTCCATTAATATCTGAATGTTGATGTCCTCTCTCTACAAATTGTACCCTCTTGTAATAACCAGCAAATTAAAATAATAATAATAAAAATAATAATCAATACAACTGATGCTAGTAATGTGCTGATTCTCCCTCGCTCGTCACACATTTTAATGAATTTTTTTAAATTTATGATTATGAAAATAAAAATTCATTTTAATGTGTATATGAATCAAACTGATAGAACGGAGGATTAAATAAATAAATAATAACAATATTAAACCATATTAAATTGACAAAAATTCTCATTTATGCTCTACTGATGGGTGACCTCAGAAACCCCAGATGCTCTCCATCGTGTCAGAGCACGTGTGTGCGCTGAGCTTTATAGAGCACATGCACGCTCATGCTGCAGGGACTAAACCATTCTAGTCCACAACATGGGTGACAGCAGTCTACGTATGTACATGTATTTATAGGTTTTCCACAGTGGCATAGCTGATCCTTGTTGGCATTACTTGAACAAGTTGTGATGGGAAAATAACAATATGTTGTAATATGTTAATATGTATCAATTTACATATTACTGTTGTAGCCCATGCTGAGATGGCGCATTTTTTCCTATATATTCAAAACACATAAAAAATTATTCTACAAGTTGTGTTAAATACACATTAAATTATTGTTTTTAATTTCTAAATTGAAATTAATTATATAGTCAACATTGTCTGTTGGTATTCAGGCCAAGTTCTTGATACTCATGACTCAAAAAATCACAATATTTGAAATAAATAAATAAATACTTTGAAAACTTTTTTGAAAACTTTTTTGAAAATAATGATTTTATGTAGCCTGTATTCACATTCAAATTGTCGCTCATACATTTTCGCATGCATTAAACTAACATACATAAAAAGAAAGAACACAAAGTTATTTTTATTTAAAAACAAATGATCACACCATTTCTCATATTCGGTTATACAGTCTATGACCTTACCACGTTAACAACATTGATTTAACGTAACTTAAAGCCACAAGAGGCGTAACGTGTACGTGTGTCCTCATAGGTCAGGAATCCCCCCTGTACAGGAAAGTGGGACGATCCAGTCAAGTTCTCACTTCATTCATTCAAGGTTCATTCAGTTCAGACTAGAAGCTCGTTGTTGATTGAATCCCGTTACCCCACTGAATGAAAACAAATGCAGATGTCAACGAATATTTAAGCGCTGCGAAACTTCCTCAAGCTCTAGAAATATGAACGCGGAAGGTGTTTCCAAGCGCACGCACAAAACGTGAGGAGGCGCGATGGATGCAAAGGACAGAGAGCGGCAGCAGACACGGAGCGCTTGCAAAAGAACCGAAAGCGCCAGTGTCCTGCGCTCGCTCAGCGTCGACAACATAGACGATAATGAGGCAATGGCAGGCGACTCGGACCTGGTTAAACATGGCAGTCTTGAACAGCGACTCATCGCACCGAGGTACAGCTTGCTCCGTGAAGTTGGCAGGGGCAGTTATGGCGTTGTGTACGAAGCCGTTGCCCGTAAATCAGGTGCGCGAGTGGCGGTGAAGAAGCTGCGCTGTGACGCGCCCGAGAACGTGGAGCTGGCGCTGGCGGAGTTTTGGGCTTTGACCAGTCTGGAGAAACGCCATGAGAATGTGGTGCAGCTGGAGGAGTGTGTGCTCCAAAGGAACGGGATGGCCCAGAAAATGAGCCATGGCAATAAGCGTTCAAAGCAGTATTTGAGGTTGGTCGAGACCTCTTTGAAAGGTGAGATGTTTTTATTCAAGCCCTGGCATTTTTCTGGAAGGTCAGCGGTGGGAGAATGCTTTGTCACGAGCTCAAACAGTGGCTTTTGTTTGTGACAGTTCACTCATTTGGTAGCAATGGCATATTAGCCATTTAAAATCTAAGCAATGTCAATTTTTATAAGTTTTTCAATTGTAATCTGAAACAAAACGGTGAGACTCCATTGTTTGGCAGTGAGTCATGTGGCTTTTCACCGATGACACCGGACGTCGATATTGCGCATGTCTGTGTTCTACATTAAGATTGTTTACATTTTATGTAAGAATGTGGCAAATGTCGGTCAGATTTGCCCTCCCCCACCCTCCTCTCGGTTATGAAACTCTGAGGTTGGAGGTGGGGAAGGTGCTGTGTTGGGGTCAAACCTTCTCCCCACCCGCTATACCAAGTTATAACAATGAAGGAAGTGTGTTTCCTTGCATGATAACTGTGTAAATGATCTTACAGATGAAAAAGAGACTATGGTGATTTAGTACATACAATCGAGGCCAATTTAATGTCATTCATCTTAATGTCTTCTTTGTGTGACTGCTTTCACATGCGGATCTTCTGAATCATGTAGGTTTTTATACTGTATGATATGTAAAGTGTTGCTAGAGGCATTTGCTTGAAAGCTGTAGGTCTGGTCTATATTTAGTGTAAATGGAAGTGAAAGTAGGAAGAGATGGTTAACTTTTATATGGGTGATATGTTATGAATAAATTATTTTAAGTGTTTCAAACACCTAATCTCTGGTGGGAACACAAGACAGTAGTGTCTGTCTTAAATATAGCTAAGTGGTTATAATAAATGGCAGTTACATTGTAAAGTGTTGCTGTAGTGAACAGGTTTTGTATATCTGAAAATGTTAGGTTAAAAGCATTTGGTTATGTGGAAATAACTGAAAAAGTCTTGTGAGCAACCATGTCATGCGATGACAAAGTTAATAAAAACAATAATGGCAAGTTAACTTAAACTTAGCACTTACATAGCATAAACACAAAACAAATATCATACATTCAGGCCAATAGGTGTTAGCATAAAGTTTAAAACCACTGGAATTAGCGCCAGCTAAAACCTAAACAAGCGTTTTAGTGCACTTCTGTGTATGAAAAGGAATCTGCTTTATCGCAGATTTTAATGATTTTCAAGCAATTTCCTTGATGTTAACGTATTTTTCATAGTGTGATTAAAAACATCAACTTGATAAAGCCTTTAGACTGTTTTGTGGTGTAATGGTGATAACCTGTGACATTCACATTATGTGTTATATTCACAGCAGATGAACAAACAAAACCAGGGAAAGTGATGAAAAATAATGCCCATGAAAGCACAGGACCATGCTTATTACTTAGACTTTTGGCTGGTATCAGGGGATACAAGCCAGTGATTGTTGTTCTTATGGGAGCTAGTCCAGTCCTGTGAGAAGAAAACTCAACGGTTCAAACTGGTTCCACAGCAATCCAGCCTCTGAAACTGATGACAAATCAATCTTTCTTTTAACTCTTTTTATTGCATTAACTCCTCGTTTTATCTGGTGCTCTCACTCTCACCTTTTAAAACATGTTTACTTGCTATATAGCACACAAATACATGTTATGTGGAAGGTTTTCCTACAGTTTTCGCTCCCATGCTGATTTGTTTTTCTCTTTTCCTAAACAGAAGGTTGGGGTGTGACTTTTTTTTTTTTTTAAAAGACTTTAGTTTACCTCAAAGTTCTTTTAAGGCAAGTTGGTACACTTGACAGCCATATTTGTAAGCTATTTCCAGGCATGCATGTACAGCTCATGTCTAGTTGAATGGGGAAAGACCAAAACCTATGTAACAGTAGCATATTTCAAATCAGCAATGAAATTTGACAACAGTGGTTTCATAAATTGTGCTAATGTGCATGCATTCTATGGTAAACAAATTAATTTAACTTCAAATCAGGATTTCCATTCCTGTAAATGACGATTGGTACTTTTAACTGTACGGCGAAACTACAGCTGCCATATTGTGTGGTACAATTTATCTACAAATAGACCTTCTCTTCCTTACACAGTCTCTGGTTTACATTTATAGCCATGATTTAATACTTGCTATTAGTCAGAGGCAAGGGATTATTAGTGCAAAGGACATTCTCATTTTATTGAGCGTTTTATTTCATCAGTATTTTTGGTCTGTTTTTCCAAATAGGCTGACTTGTAGGAGTGGCATTATCTCCAATTTTGATTTCATGCCTTCTCTAAACATCATAAATGTGACCCTCGACCACAAAACCAGTCTTAAGTCGCTGGGGTATATTTGTAGCAATAGCCAAAAATATACCATATATTGACCAATAGGGTCAAAATTATTGATTTTTCTTTTATGCCAAAAATCATTAGGATATTAAGTAAAGATCATGTTCCATGAAGATATTTTGTAAATTTCCTACTGTAAATATATTAAAACTTAATTTTTGATTAGTAATATGCATTGCTAATAACTTAATTTGGACAACTTTAAAGGCGATTGTTCTCAATATTTAGATTTTTTTGCACCCTCAGATTCCAGATTTTCAAATAGTTGTATCTCGGCTAAATATTGTCCTATCCTAACAAACCATGCATCAATGGAAAGCTTATTTATTCAGCTTTCAGATGATGCTTAAATCTCAATATAACTAGGGTCAGTTAATGTCAATAAGCAACAACTGGTAGTTTAAACCATAGTATTTCTGTTGAAGGTGAAGTCATTTAGGATTTTTATTAGACAACAACAGTTTTGAGTAGGTTCTGTGAAAGTTGCATTATAATCCTTACTTTTGAAATCATGGTTGTTGTTTATTAAAGTTTCATACCAATGCAAACATCTCCTAAATATTCAAATGCAGGTATATTCATCTCTGCGTCTTTTTGTCTGTGTGTGTGTGTTCTTTTAGGTGAGCGTGTATTGTCGTGTCCTGATGAGCCCTGCTACCTATGGTTTGTTATGGAGTTTTGTGAGGGAGGGGATCTGAATCAGTTCATCTTGTCGCGACGGCCCGATCCCCGAACCAATGCCAGCTTCATGATGCAGCTGAGTAGCGCTGTGGCGTTCCTGCATGAAAACAACATTGTTCACAGAGACCTTAAACCAGATAATATCCTCATCTCGGAGCGTTCTGGTGCACCTGTGTTGAAAGTGGCAGATTTCGGACTGAGCAAAGTGTGTGCTGGTCTGAGTGCCGGAGTACGAGACTCAGAGGAGGGACGGGACAAAAACAAGAACAGTGTTAACATCAACAAGTTCTGGCTCTCGTCGGCATGCGGCTCGGACTTTTACATGGCACCGGAGGTTTGGGAAGGACATTACACAGCCAAAGCAGACATTTTTGCTCTAGGCATTATCATCTGGGCCATGATAGAGAGAATCACATTCATTGACGCCGAGTCGAAACGGGAGCTTCTCGGGACGTATGTGCGGCAAGGTTCTGACATCGTCCCAGTTGGAGAGGCGCTTTTGGAGAACCCAAAGATGGTTTTGAGTATTCCCCAGCGCAGGCGCTCGCACATGCCCGAGGCACTCCGGAAACTTTTGCAGGACATGCTGGCCGTCAATCCTCAGGACCGACCAGACGCACTAGAACTGCACAGCAGGATGGGACAGGTCACTTGCGCAGCGTGAACTCTGACCTGAATGCACACACAGGTAAGCCTTTGCCAGTGCAGTTTCCATAAATGTTGTTTTTTGACTTTGTTTTTGTGTGAAGGCTCATGTGTCCAGTAGCAGTAATCGCAGCCGGTAACAGATAATGGTAGAATGGCAGAAACGCTGTGTATTCTTATGTTATCTCTTAAGGTCAAACGCAGTATAAAATTGACAGCCGGTAGAAAATTTGTATTCATTTGTCCTACTGCTTGCAATTAATTTCTTTGTTCTTATTACCATTTAGGCCTACTTGGTTATTACATTTTACTTATTTTGTCTAGTAATAGTTGTTGCTGTGATACTGAATTTTGTATTAAGAATTTTGAAATTTCAATGGCATCTAAAATTGTGACATTATACATTCTTATTTCAAGTCAAAATAACTATATTGTGATATATTGTTATTGTAAAGTAAAATAATTCATGATATAAGATTTTGGCCATATCACCCACCCCTACATTTGTAATTTTTTTCCTTAAAGGGGTCATATGATGCTGCTAAAAAGAACATTATTTTGTGTGTTTGGTGTAATGAAATGTGTTAACAGCTTGTAACACTCTAAAGAGAAAGGAAAAATTGAAATCGCATCATATGACCCCTTTAAAGGCATAACAATAGATTATGGAAAATGTTTAACCCTTTAAACGCACTATTTCATGAAGAGCACTTTACCTTTAAAGGGGTCCTATTATGCTCTTTTACAAAGTCTTGATTTTGTTTTGGGGGTGTACTAGAACATGCTCTCATGCTTGGTGGTTCGAAAAACGCATTATTTTTCACATAATTTACATTATTACAATACCTTTCTCCCCAGCCTGGCACAAACGGCTCAATTAGTTCCAGGTTTGATGAAGGCCCGCCTTCCGAAAAACGAAATGTGTTGGGATTGGTTAGCTCTCCCAGTGCGTTGTGATTGGCAAACAGCTTAGATGGTGTTTCAGTCTGCTCCGGTATAGTTAAGGATGGCGTCAATATTGGCATATCAATTTGAGCCAGATTCAAACCCCGAGAATATTGAACGAGAGGATCGCGCAGAACCTTTGCACGCACAGATAGTGCAAGACATATTAGAGTGGTGATGTTATTGTTGTTTTGTTTTTTTGCCTAAATCACGTTTTCGATACAATGTCAACAACTGCTTAAAAATAACTGCATTTACTATGTACAGATAAGTGCA